ATCTTTTGGAAGATAACATTTTCATACATTACATTACCCTGGGCAAAACCAAACAGGAAGAGGAGAACCAGAGGAAACATGTTCTCCCTGAAACATAAGGATATCGAATAATAGACGATGATCTGATAACCATTAATCTGGATAACCCTATAATAATCCAACCATTGCTTGAAGCAGCTGTTTAACTTGTTCTCCTTTGTTTTTGTATGTGTTTCTAGTAGAGATTCTAGATGATTTTCGCTCAACAGATTCTATTAACTTGTCTTCTTCGTCTGCTTATTAGCTGCAGAATCATGGGGCTCTACCTGTTCGTCCTGCTCCTCATTTTCAGAATCAGTTTCAAGTGGTTGATCCCTGGCTCTTAATCGCTTCTGTAATTCTGCCAATGGTATGTAGTCCTCTTCTTCTGAATCTGATCGCTTCTTGACGATATCGCCTCAGCCGATCCGCCTTGGAATCAGTGATAATGACTGGATCTGACTCTTCACTACTGGACTCTTCTGGAGGAACAACATATTGGGCCTTCCTTCTGGGCCTACCTGTTGTATCCTTGGGAATTTCCCTAATCATCTATTTTTGCTATCCGCAAATGTTCTGCATGTGCTTTTGTTACTGTCCCATCCAGTTGATTCCTAATGATGAATGTAACAGGTGATGTCCGCTCAATAACTTCGGTAGTATGGCTTCCATTTGGATTGTAATTTGCTTTTTCGCTGGTGATGTCTGTAATACACAGGATCACCAACGCTTATCTCAATTGGCTTGCTGCATCTGTCAGCATATTTTGCTTGTCTTTCTTTGCCTTTTTCATATGTTCGTGTACCAACACAAAAGATTTGTGTTGCTGTTGCAGGGCAATTTTATGTTCCTCCTCCCATGGTATTTCTTCCTGGGTTTTAGAAGGTTGTCCAATGGTAGGACAACATCCCGGTTGTATAAGAGGAAAAAGGGTGAGAATTTGGATGACTCACATATGTTGAACCGGATTGCTGCTAAGGTCTGGTTCAAGTACAAATCCCAAGTAGTTAGATCATCATCCAATTTCTTCGCCAGGACATCATGCAGTGTCCTATGAAAACGCTTCTACTCTCCCATTGGCTTGTGGGTGGTAGAAAGAAGTCACCACATGGTGAATTCCCAATGTGGCAAGAATTGTCTTCACGACATGGTTTACATTTTCCGCACCATTGTCGGTGACAATCTCTAGTGGAGAGCCATATCGAGGAAATATTTCTTCAATTAGCAGGTGTGCAATGGTTTCAGCAGTCTTGTCTGGTACTGCAAAAGCCTCCGGCCAACCACTATAATGATCTACAAATCCCACAATGTACTTGTTTCCTGACAGAGTGGTTGGGTAAGGGCCTGATAGATCCATGCTTATTTTCGCAAATGGATAGGGAGGTACATCAGTTTCTTGGAGGGGTGGCTTCTGTTTGCGTAGAGATCGGGCCTGGCAAGTGATGCAGCGGGAAACATACTCATACAAATCCTTGTACATGTTCGCCAGTAATATTTCGCTTTCAATGCATCAAACGCTTTATCGATTCCCATATGCCCATTCTCATCATGGTACTGATGGATTAGTTGCCCTTTTAAATGTGTGGGTACATACAATCTTGGGATGGGTTCATCATCCACATCAGTGATGTAGTATAGCAAACCATCCATCAACAAGAACTTCTTGAGGGAATGGCTGACCATCCTGACCTTTTCTAGCAAGGTTTTCGCTTCTTGTATCTCTTCATCTTTGACTGTTCTGTTGTCATATCAAGGTTAAAGTCCAAGGGTATTGCCTTTTCCAGAACATCTAATCCTGGACCTTGACAGCGAGCATATGCCTTGGGCTCAAAATTGGTCGAGTCAAGCACATTGATTTCTAAACTGTTATCATTCTCTACAGATTCAACCATCTCATCCGTCCTTAAATTATTACCATCGCCGAACCCTGAGAGAAGATCTGCACAGGTATTTTCTGTGCCTGCAATATACTGAACCTGACAATTATATCCTGCCATTCCGAAAGTGCCCAGAGCTGTACTTTCTTGTTTTGCATGGGTGACTCCAACAGATACTTCAACGGTTTATGATCAGTTTTGATCACAAAATCTGCATTATGCAAGTAATGGTCAAGTTTCTGTAAGCTGAAGTGTATTGCGTAAGCCTCTTTCTCTATGGTCGCATTTGGAAGCGTGTCTGTGTGTCACTCAGTTTGTGTGACAAGAAATGAATGGTTTTTCCGTCCCATCATCGCTTAATTGGGCTAGACAAGCACCAATACAGCTGTCACTGGCATCTGTATACAGGATGTATGGTTTATTTGGGTCTGGATATGTCAGTAAAGGAATTACTGTCAGGCTTTGTTTTAGGAACTGGAAAGCTAAGCTGACATTCATCTGTCCAGGAAAACCTGGCATATTTCTTAGTTAACCGAACAATTGGTTCAGCAATTTTAGAAAAATTTGGAATGAAGCCGATAGTAGTTACACATCCCGATGAAACTTCTGACCTCTCTGACAGATGTTGGAGCTCCCATAGACCGTATGGCTTCAACTTTCTGTTCCTCTGGCTTGATCCCACTCTGGTTGATCACTTAATCCTAGATAGTTCGTTTCAGATTGGACAAAACTACACTTAGAAAGTTTAAGCTTCAGCTTAATGCTGTCTCAGGCTTATCAAAACAGTTTGTATGTGAAACATATGATCCTGTAAGGTTTTTGAGAAGATCAAGATATCATCTAGATATGCTATTGCAAATGCTTCTAGATCCTGTAGTACTATATTCATGAGTTCCATGAATATTGAGGGAGCATTACAGAGGCCGAAAGGCATAACAGAGAATTCAAACAGTCCACGGTGACATGCAAAAGCTGTCTTTTCCTTGTCTTGTTCATCCATCAAGATTTGCCAGTACCCCGACTTTAAATCAAGAGTGGAGAAGTATTTTGAATTCCCAGTTGTGTCAAGATATCATCAATGAGTGGGAGAGGCGGAGATGGGTCGGTAATCTTGTTTAAGGACCGAAGTCCACACAAAATCGCTTTACTTCGGCCCTTCTTGTCCACCACTACAATGGGAAAGCTCCACGGTGATCTAGACCGTTTAATAATTTTGGCCTCAAGCATGTCATTGATGGCTTTGTCAACCACTTTTCTTTTTATTAAGTGGTGTCCGTATGGCCTCAACTTGTGCCCCTTCGAAAAGATCATGAATTCTTCATGAATTCTTCATGAAGTGTCTTCATGAAAACTTCATGAATACTTCATGCAGAATTCATGAACATTAAATGAGACATTTACTTCATGAAGACTTCATGAAGTTCCTTCATGAAGGAACTTCATGAAGTGTTCATGAACTCTTCATGAAGGAACTTCATGAATTCTTCATGAAGAAAATGTCTCATTTAATGTTCATGAATTCTTCATGAAGTAACTTCATGAAGTAACTTCATGAATTAAATGTCTCATTAAATGTTCATGAAATGTTCATGAATTCTTCATGAAGTAACTTCATGAATTCTTCATGAAGTAAATGTCTCATTTAATGTTCATGAATTCTTCATGAAGTAACTTCATGAATTCTTCATGAAGTAAATGTCTCATTTAATGTTCATGAATTCTTCATGAAGAAGAGTTCATGAACACTTCCTGAAGAGTTCATGAAGAGTTAACTCATGAAGACCTCCTGAAGAGTTCATGAAGATTTCCTGAAGAGTTCATGAACGCAACTTTTTTCTGCAACACAAGACACAGGATTTCACATTTAAACCCCATGCTCTCTAAAGATAAAAAGACAGGGTATAATTTAGTAGAATAATATTTAATTCTTATTGAAGTCAAGTTTATTTCTGATGTGGGGTGGTCTTAGGCCCACATCACTGTTCTATACATGATCGAGGACTTTGCATTTTTATCACGTTATGAGATCATGTTCATTAACTTCTCAAGACATCCAAGATATTTTTATGGATTTAACTTCTTTGTAAATTCTCTCACAACATTTCGAGACCATTCCAAGTCCCTTCATCAGGTGAACTGACAGTTAGGACTATGAAGTCATAACTGACTTATGATGTCACAATGCAAGTGACATCACAGTACACTAGGGAGAGTACTGTATAAGTAAGTTTGAAGAGTTATTTACATAATGATGAAAATTCATGCTAAATAACAGAGTTGAAAGTTGAATTGTCAATACACAACAACTGCTAATTACACAAAAGTTACTTGATAGCAGGCTTTCCAAAAAGAATAGTAGACTCATTATTTTTTGGGGGGGAAATGCCACTGAAAGACATTCTCAAGACATGATTACATCTTATAACATACATGTATTGTATGTAAAAACATTGTATATTGTAGTTACAAGTTTATATAAATGTATTTTGTCGTAAGATTTAATGGTTATGATTCACTCCAGAGATATGCTCGAATTGTCACGCGATCACCAGGCGATTACGTCATCAAAACATGTGTTGTTGATTCAGAGATTGTTTATACATTAAATCTGCTAAATATAAATGAATATTAAAAAGTACTTACACGCGATCACCAGGCGATTACGCAGGCATGTGTTCCTGGAGGTTGCAATTGGTACACTATATCCATTTAATGTCACATCTTATTTGGATGTTAGATCGCATTCTTCTTGCATTCGGTGGCTTCTGCTACATGCATTACCGGAAGTATGACGGCATCTCATATAGCATACTCTCCTTCAAAAGCAGTTACAGAGACAACAGACTCAACATAAGTTCTAGTGTTTTGGGGCTTATTAGAGTTTTATATTTGAATTACAGTGCTGCATTCTTGGCTCTGCCTTTGCGCAAAGTAGTTATTCTTGTGAAATTGGAAATTTGGAAGTTATAGGAATAATACATCTACAGTACTCTGAACTGTTATAACGAACAAGCCGGTAAACTAGCAAAAGTTTAATTCACTCTTGCAGTTGCCTATCCTTGAATTGTTATTGCCACCTATAAAATAAATAACAACAACAGTGAGTAAAGATTCATTGACTTTATTTATTTGTTAGAATTTTCTTTTAATCCATTTTTACATAACTTTCAAAATTGACGGTTGGGATGGGACATAAAATATATCCTGACGACCACATTCCCCACCCCCAACCTGTTTCATTGTTTCTGCACATCAATATTGCAAATTTGTGACATATAGGATGGGCAAATTATTCAGGTATATATTTGGTTCTAATTTCTTCTTAGGCACTACAAATACAAATAAAAAAGATACTCAGCCTTGATATGTCTTTTACAAATTAAACACACTCTGTATGGTCTATCCATTATCAATATACAATATATAACAAGGATACAAAATATGCTATACATCCATATGTTGCCATAAAATACTTGTAACACTAAAAGTGTTTGAAATATTTCAAAACCAATTTCAGCGCATACTGGTAATGATATCCCAGGTGCATTTAATATTACTGTATGCCTTCTTCAGCTCAAGCAGAATACAAAATTTAATTTTTTATGTTCGCGGCTACCTTCTGTTGAACTAAACGACAGCCGTGCCCCTTTTTAACCCCCAGAGATGGCAGGATCACCTGGAAGCATAGAAGATAAGACATATGGTAAGAAACTTTAGCATTTCAATGCTAACAAAATTATAAAGGGTGGTAGTACTGGCATTAACTAGTTCATATTCAAAGAATGGACAAGGATAATTTTATGGCTAACAACTTCTTTAATACTTACATGCAACGTTTCGACATAGATACTTATGATGTCTTTCAGTGGCATTTAGAAGTTGTACATTGATGTCCAAGATACTTATGTTGCCAATTGTTTGTGTGTGCGAAAATTGAGAAAGTAGACCTCAATATCTATGTGTCGACTTCCATGTAGAATCAGAATAGAACGACTATAGATCTAAGAGTGAATGTGACAAATATCAATAAATGTATACATTTCCAACCATGTTCGTGAATTCAAAAAGAACTGAGCCTTTCATAAATACAGAATGTTTTCGTGATGCGATTATATGTGGTGGGGAAGCAGACAGTTTCTTCACAGTCTGCCCAGCTTGTTTCGATTTCAATGTGATATATTTATCAGGAATTCAGGGGTAGAAATAACTTTAAAATTGATAGTGTACTCTGATACAGTGGCACATGTAAAGTAACTTGCCCTGATAATTTTTCCACTATACCGACCGTTTTCTTGCTGATGGTTTAAATAAACAACATAATTAACATTGGAAAGTCAAATGGCCAGGACACCGGTACAGTGTGATATACAAATTTGCTTGACCAACAGAAAAAAACCCAGTGGACATGGACGTAAGGCAAGGGGTTAATTGATAATTCCAACCTTGGGAGTTGTTTTTAATATGTCTTCATAACATACTACATGGCTTTACAAAACCTTCATCAATGCTTGCATATTCCAACATATTATTAAACATGGGTCTAAATAATATATGCATCCACCCTAAAACTAATATTTTTATCCACTACCTGCAAAAGAAGAAAACAATGGCTCCCTTGGCAAGCTAAAAAAAAGCCTTGACCTCCTGTATTATGACCTACCTGGAGGTATTTACAAATCTTGCATGTACACCAATCTTTGTTATTCTTGAAAACAGTATAGTATTATCGATTGGAATTTATTCAAATATATAATCAAAGTTTGATTGTCAAATGATAAATTATCTGATCATTTGATCCATTGGTGCATCACTACAAATTATACCTTTCGAACACAAATAAATACCTTTGGTTCCTGTCGAGTCCAAGTCTGTTTTTGACTGTTTATGTTTAACCCCTGAAGGCACATAGGTTGACGCAGGATCTGGTAGATAAAACAATTCAATGAGATGATGTTAAAATTCATGCATGTAAATGGAACGGAACAAGTGGCTCCTGTGATGATACTTTCGTCACACAGAGTCATAGTAATTAATTTTGTCATAGAGCTATAGTATATTTTACTAATCATTGGGAACTTCAATGTTAATAAAAACTACACAAAGCACATCACATTCCTGATATTGAAAACGTTTTGGTCCTTTTCTGCAAAACACCTTTCTCTACTTCCACAAAGATCGACATAAAATCCCAATTTCTGAAGAACAGAATTTGCTGAAATCAAAGAATTTATTTTAGACGAAGGATGCACAAAGAATTTCTTCCCGGATAATGAAGTTATATCTTTGGTATTGTCACATCAATTTTAAAACAACAAATACAAGCAATCACAAAAGTATCATCACAGGAATACAGAACTTGGAGGTTTAAACCGCGCACTCAGCAATATTGCAGCTATATTGCGGCTGTCTGTTAACCATGTCAGCGAGTGTGACCACCCGATCCCGTAGGGTCGCCCCTTACGACAAGCATGGGTTACTGAAGGCCAGTTCTAACCCGAATCTTCTCGGATTTTAAGACTGAATTATACAAGCTGAAGATGTGATTTTATCAAAATATTGACAAATGTGACAGGCTCACACGATTTTTCAACATAGAAGCAAATATTTTTAACTTAAACTTCGATCATTTACCTTTGATTCCCACAACGACGGCGCGGTAGTTTGACACGGAACTTTGCCTAAACTTCTTTCCTGGTTGGTGAAGAAATTGTCAGAGATTTTTCCATCGTACCAAAAGAGAAGACAACTTTGGAAGTTCACACGATCAGTGTCGTCCATAGATGCAGTCATGTTCGGTACCGCCATGTTCAGATTTTAGAAAAGCGCCAAAATCGCTTCCAGCCAATTAGAGGTGCTCTTTCTTTCGATGTCATAATTGAACCAATGCCAAGACTCGTTAATCAGTTGAGTTAGGTTTTTGTCTCTTCAAAATAAATAACATATCTAAAGAAGCAAATACGACTGAATACAGTTTTTAAAAAGCTCCATAAGATTTATTGTATCATTTATATAGTTTTTAATACATACTTTTAAAAAAATCACGATCGACGAGATCATCCGGTACCAGCCATCGTTCCAAAATGGCGGATGCACCCGACTCACGGGAGGTAGATTTACCGATTCCATCATGAAAATAAGGGAAATACCGTCCAAATACACGATGTCAAATTTGAATGTCTCATCTCTGGTCGGAAACTGGCTTCAAAACAAAACATTTTAAGTCATTTTCACACTTTACATGGACTAAGACAGTAGTTGTTTACATCAGTGTTCGATCGGTTTTGCGAAAATTCAGAATTGACGCGAGTCTCGACTGCACGTACAATTAATATTCAGACTGGGTCCAGAGACATGGTAAAGAAATAAACATCGTGATATTGTCCACACATTCTTGTTTGGCATATTAAACATTTTAAAAGGCCCCATAGACATATTGGTGTAGATAACGCGAAAGATCCATTAAAAATTTGGAAGTGTGTAAAATCTACAGCAGTTACGTGCGATTACTTATCGGATAAGTAAAGTTTGAAACACTACTACTCACAATCTAAGACACGTTTCTGCTGTAGATGTTTTCCAACTTTAGATTTTTGAATGTTTGGCCTAATTTTAAGAACCTTACAGCACCACAAAAATATGTCATAATACCCTTCTACGTAACTGTTGTGATTTCGTGCCAAAGTACGTTCTCGAAGCAGTGCCCTTTTTAGCAATTATTAAAATATATTATATTTCGGTTTAAACGTAACTTGTATACAGAAATCCAACTTGGCTGTGTCCAATTTCTTCAAATTGCTTAAAAGTTTGTCTCCTCTGACTCTTGTCTTTGATGCTGAAAAATCCATCTGTGAAACTGTGTTATCATAGCCTCATTCATTTTTTGAACCAGTAGTGAATACAAACACCCACTCTCCAGCTCTCGATCTTATCAGATTCCCTCAAACTGACTACAGCTACATGAAGCATGTAAGCAAAATTGTACAAATCAGATTCAGATAATTTAAACTTTCTTAAATATGTTGAAAATATTTTTATGTTTCACCTTTACAAAACCACTGATATAACATGAATAAAAGTATTGTATCTTGTAATATTTTGTCTTTTCAATGTAGTTTACTCTGGAAATTTACAGTGAATAAGATGAGTCTTAGTTCATGAACAAAAACTTCATGAAGTAAAATATAACTTCATGAAGTGTAAAATAACTTCATGAAGTTGATGAAGTGTGTCTTCATGAAGAATTAACTTCATGAAGTTGATGAAGTCTTCATGAAGTGTGTCTTTCTGAAGAATTAACTTCATGAAGTTGATGAAGTCTTCATGAAGTGTGTCTTCATGAAGAAGGTTCATGAAGATTTTGGTTGAAGTTGATGAACACTTCATGAACTCTTCGTGAACTCATCATGAAGTTCATGAAGACTTCATGAAGACTTCATGAACTCATGAACTGAGTTTCGCAGGGGTAAATAGCCGGTATCTATTTCTGACACTTGGTAAAGTGTGTCATCAGGAAAATATGGCCCTTGTTTTACTTTTGCTCTGCACAGACTTCTACTTTGTGGTTTTAAAATAGTGTCCCCAGCCAGACGCACAATGGAGGCAATGTGCAGGTCATCTTCCAATGGTACATAGGTTTTTCCTATCCTTAAACTTCCAAGGTCGTAGTACAGTCGGACGCCATGTTGTTTTAGCCAATCTCTTCCCAAAATCATATTCCTATTCATGTTGCCTACCACATAAAAATTTGTGCAAGTTAATGTCACTCCTCTCATTTGAAAAGTGATGTCTACGCAACCATCTACTTCTAAACCATTCCCATTGACAGACTGTAGTGAAACCTTCTTTTTACTTAACTTATAGAGTCCTTGTAGTTTGTGAAAACCCTTCTGTGAATAATAGATACTTCAGCTCCAGAATCAATCAAACATCTATAATGTTGTTTCCCTATCCTAACAGTACACCTAACTTGGATTTCCTGCTAAATTTATAGTATATACTGTTCTCTCTTTCTCCTTCTCATCGGTTTCATCATGAGAAGGAGTTTTAGTTTAAAGGTGTTCCATTTGGTGTTCTCCTATATGTTCCATAATTCATCCCATAATGTTTCTCTCTGTTTGGGCAATCCCTTTTAAAATGTCCCCGTTGGTTGCACACCCTAACACAACATTGCTCATGGTCTACCAATGGGTTCCTACTCTTTATTTGTCACTGCATTGACACTATTCCTATTGCCTGACCTACAGTCCCTCAGCCTTGTGGCCTGATTGCTGACATTTATAGCATTTCGCTCTTGGGCGGTAATGGTCTACCTCCATGGGTTCTTCCCTCGTTGATCTTCATCCTCTATTGCCCCTTCCTAGTCTCAGGTTAAATCGGTGCGTGAAATTCTGTTCATGCGTTGCACATGCAACAGCTGCAGCCATGTTTGGAGGGTTTTCTCTCATTACTTTCATTTTTTTGAGATAGTCATAGGCTAGCCCATCTGTGAAAAAACCTACCAATTGGCGCCTATGGCAACACCACCTCCATCCCTACCTAATCCTGTGTAAGCCTCCTCGGCTAAGTTTAGCAGTCGTTCGGCAAACAACTGTACACTTTCACAGTGTTTCTGTCTTACAGTTCTCAACAACATAAAGGCATGTTGGCGTCAGTTATTTCAGCAAATCTCCACGAGTCAGTTCATGCTTTAGCTCCGCCATGTTGCCTGATCATGGTCTTGCAAATAGCGATGTATAAAATCGCTAACTGCCCCTGAACTTGACTGGTACGCCACTAATTTGATTCTATCTTGACCTGAGTTAGTCAACACAGCTGTGTATTTTTCAATACTTTTCATCCATTCTTTAAACCGTGAGGCTCCCCTCAAATGGTTTTATAATTTGAGCTATACCCTGTGCCTAACGCCAGTGGACAGACTGGCTAATTGCCCTGTTATTTGCCCTGCAATTCCGGTCAAAAGTCACCTATATCCTGGCTTGCCATAACGAAGTCGGAATAAAGAAGAAGTCAAAGCCACTTACCAAGCTGATCAGGGTCCAGTCCACGTTGTTTGGCGGCTTGTCCTTGTTTGAAGGGGAATCCTGGTCTCGGCACCAAAGAAGAACCCTCGCGTGCTCTATGTAGCACGCGATAACACGCACACAGGATGAAAGTTTTGACACCGTTCTTTAATTATCACAGCATATAACGATATCAATCAGTAATTACAACAATAGGAATATGGTGGAGACCATGCGAGAGGCTAGGCAGTTCCCAGGCTGACCAGGCGAGACCAGGGTTGTTCTTCGACTTCTCTGCTCAGCTGATCTGCTAGCCTTGGCTGTTGGTGCTGTCCGTTGGTCTGTGTTCAGCCTCCCGCCTGTGCCTCAAGCTGTTTTCCTCTCTATGTGGCTGTCTCTGTAGACTACCTTCATGGTGCTGCTTATATAACGAACTTCAGCCACAGGATCACGTGGCGACTAGTCAGCATTTCTCTTGACCGTTCAGGTACACGTAGTGACCAGTCAGCATTTCGCTGGACAGTTTGCCAAATCATCACAACAAGGTTAAATCGTTATCTGTCCAATTAGTCAGTCATTAGTGGTGGTCAGTACAATCATATCTTTATCTGGTCAATTTGCCCTTATCATCACCCATTGCTGACCAGCACTGACCGACTTTTATCTTCCATGGAAAACATGCCTGCCCGTCTACACAGCCTCCAACCATAGTGTTACAATACTAACTATCAGCCCTCAGGGAAGCTACCATATAATGTATTTCTCTCAATAATACTAACTATCAGGCCTCAGGGAAGCTACCATATAATGTATTTCTCTCAATAATACTAACTATCAGTCCTCAGGGAAGCTACCATATAATGTATATCGCTCAATAATACTAACTATCAGTCCTCAGGGAGGCTACCATATAATGTATTTCTCTCAATAATACTAACTATCAGCCCTCAGTGAAGCTACCATATAATGTATATCTCTCAATAATACTAACTATCAGCCCTCAGGGAAGCTAGCATATAATGTATTTCTCTCAATAATACTATCAGCCCTCAGGGAAGCTACCATATAATGTATTTCTCTCAATAATACTAACTATCAGTCCCTCAGTGAAGCTACCATATAATGTATATCTCTCAATAATACTAACTATCAGCCCTCAGGGAAGCTAGCATATAATGTATTTCTCTCAATAATACTATCAGCCCTCAGGGAAGCTACCATATAATGTATATCTCTCAATAATACTAACTATCAGCCCTCAGGGAAGCTAGCATATAATGTATTTCTCTCAATAATACTAACTATCAGGCCTCAGGGAAGCTAGCATATAATGTATTTCTCTCAATAATACTAACTATCAGGCCTCAGGGAAGCTACCATATAATGTATTTCTCTCAATAATACTAACTATCAGGCCTCAGGGTAGCTACCATATAATGTATATCTCTCAATAATACTAACTATCAGCCCTCAGGGAAGCTACCATATAATGTATTTCTCTCAATAATTCTAACTATCAGCCCTCAGGGAAGCTACCATATAATGTATTTCTCTCAATAATACTAACTATCAGCCCTCAGGGAAGCTACCATATAATGTATTTCTCTCAATAATACTAACTATCAGCCCTCAGGGAAGCTACCATATAATGTATATCTCTCAATAATACTAACTATCAGCCCTCAGGGAAGCTACCATATAATGTATTTCTCTCAATAATACTAACTATCAGCCCTCAGGGAAGCTACCATATAATGTATTTCTCTCAATAATACTAACTATCAGCCCTCAGTGAAGCTACCATATAATGTATTTCTCTCAATAATACTAACTATCAGCCCTCAGGGAAGCTACCATATAATGTATTTCTCTCAATAATACTAACTATCAGTCCTCAGGGAAGCTACCATATAATGTATATCTCTCAATAATACTAACTATCAGCCCTCAGGGAAGCTACCATATAATGTATTTCTCTCAATAATACTAACTATCAGTCCTCAGGGAAGCTACCATATAATGTATATCTCTCAATAATACTAACTATCAGCCCTCAGGGAAGCTACCATATAATGTATTTCTCTCAATAATACTAACTATCAGTCCTCTCAGGGAAGCTACCATATAATGTATATCTCTCAATAATACTATCAGCCCTCAGGGAAGCTACCATATAATGTATATCTCTCATATCTCTCAATAATACTAACTATCAGCCCTCAGGGAAGCTACCATATAATGTATATCTCTCAATAATACTAACTATCAGCCCTCAGGGAAGCTACCATATAATGTATATCTCTCAATAATACTAACTATCAGTCCTCAGGGAGGCTACCATATAATTTATATCTCTCAATAATACTAACTATCAGTCCTCAGGGAAGCTACCATATAATGTATTTCTCTCAATAATACTAACTATCAGTCCTCAGGGAAGCTACCATATAATGTATTTCTCTCAATAATACTAACTATCAGCCCTCAGGGAAGCTACCATATAATGTATATCTCTCAATAATACTAACTGTCAGTCCTCAGGGAGGCTACCATATAATTTATATCTCTCAATAATACTAACTATCAGTCCTCAGGGAAGCTACCATATAATGTATTTCTCTCAATAATACTAACTATCAGCCCTCAGGGAAGCTACCATATAATGTATTTCTCTCAATAATACTAACTATCAGCCCTCAGGGAAGCTACCATTTAATGTATATCTCTCAATAATACTATCAGCCCTCAGGGAAGCTACCATATAATGTATTTCTCTCAATAATACTAACTATCAGCCCTCAGTGAAGCTACAATATAATGTATATCTCTCAATAATACTATCAGGCCTCAGGGAAGCTACCATATAATGTATTTCTCTCAATAATACTAACTATCAGCCCTCAGGGAAGCTACCCTATAATGCATTTCTCTCAATAATACTTACTATCAGCCCTCAGTGAAGCTACCATATAATGTATTCCCCAAAAATATGTTTTTAGATTACAATATCATATTATAAAGTTTGAATGAATTAATGCAACATTACATTAAATCGTGTGCCCTCTACCGGCTGATCATTATTTCAAATGACCCCCATAGAGTTATGTCCCTTAGAGCGCTCTTTACGAATATCCTACGCTACAACTTGTGATTGAAACCAGTTTTGCAAAGATAGACAACACTGTGTGCGACAGTTTTCCATGTATGGAGCAATTGTATACTTTCCATGTATGGCAAGTGTTTTCTGTTTGGAAGTTGTTCACCTCAAGTTTCGATTATTGATTTCAGGCAAGTCATAAGGGATAATAAGTCTTTTATTGCATCAATAGGAAGCTAAAGAGAGTGAATGTTCCCCAGTATGTATAATATAGGCCAAAATGTTGTTGAAAATGTGTGACATTGTGCCCTTAAGTTTATCAGATTAATTGTTGTCTCTGGACTTGTATTAGTTGTGATGACATCCAGACTGGATGGATGATCTAGTCTAGTAGATCAGGGATAAAGCTGGTCTGATGGAACATGATGTTGCTGCTGTAATGTTATGATTCCAGCAGTTGGGGCATGGCATTCTTGAAACCAGCCACAAACCAACTGATTGAAGCTCCTGTATAAGTTGAGTGTTTGTTATACCAGGTAAAGAGTATACAGGTAACCAAAGAATTCTATTTATCTGAAGGCAGTTTTGTTCAACCAGTAACTAAAAACTTATTGCTTGGATTGGTTTCATATCTCATGTTTTGCGTACAGATGACAACTTTGACATTTCAGAACATGAGGATCCCTGAATATCATGCTGTATCCACACTTCTTACTCCACATGTATCAGTGTAAATTTGACTCTTCCGTTGCAGAACATTCAAAATGTTAAATATTTCTTCACTAAACTGTGCACATAGATAGGTCTGGTGGTGAACTGGTGCCTTTTGGTAGTTTTGGATTTTGGAATAATAATTTTTGCATTTCCATGGTAACAATTGACTAAAATTGGTGACAGTGCTCTTTTCCGGGTGCAAAACTTTATGGGTATTCAAAAGCCTAATGACATATATCAACAGTACCACTCTATTTCTTCACCAGCATTACTGAGGTACATCAAACCGTAGAAGCACTCAAGCAGTCTGTTGTTGATACAAGCATGCTAGTATATGAATAGTTAGTCTGTCGTACAGACCCTGAAGTAAATATATCCAAGAAAGCCAACGCAAGTCTAGAAAATGTGGCAAGTCAAGATTTCCTCAGCTTCAGGGTCTGTACCAATCTGCTGAATTCACAAGCCAGAATATGGCTTGTAATTATCAGTTGATCTCTAGCTGTCACTAGTGTTTAATATTAACTCATGGGGAGCCTCCCCCCACCACTCCCTGCTTCTGCCTGTCCTCTCACTCCAGACAAACAACGTGTGTGATTACACTAGAGACCTGATGACTTATAACATCTGAGTATTTTCTTTAACTGTTTCTGAAAATGAAGAAAGTCTCAGGGCTCCTTTTCATAATATATATTATTTTTTTTTACTATGAACTTATTTCAGTAAATTATGTTCATTTCAGAGACTAGTTGTTAGTCTAATGAATAGTTTACATACCGGTATGTATGTTTTCTTTAGACCAGTGTGAAGATCAATGTACTGACTGACTGAGTTTGGTTTTACGCCGCTTTTAGCAATATTCCAGCAACATCACGGCGGGGAAGATCAATGTAACCTTAGCTAGTTGACATATTCATGACGAGTATTTTACCACTGATGACTTTGTCTTCTTGTTATCCCCCCCAACGTGTTCACAATGAAGGGAATCCCTTTTCTTTTTACCCGTTCCATGTGTGCACTGGACGTTTTAGTGATATTCAGGACTGTTAAAACCACCTCTTGATAATACAAAACTTTGGTAGTTATTTTTAGGGCTGAAATATTGCTGATGTGACTTTCACTCCACTCGGGCTTTGGCCATATACTGGAAGCTGGCTACTCCATGGTGTTTCAGTGTCAATTGATCCTGTCTCACATGATTCCCCACAAGGGTACAATGTGTGAAGCCCATTTCTGGTGTCCCCTGCCAGCAGTGCCTCTGAATGATTCGAGATTTATGCTTGTTTTTATTTCTTTTATATCTTCACGACAATATTTCCAATTGTGCAGTATACCCAAAATGCTTCCTAAAACTTCTAAGTGGAGTAAGTATTCTGCAGTTAGCTTTCCTCCTTTTTGTTAGGGGAAAAACTTGAAACGGTTGTATTTCACTCCAGATTGGAATAGTGGTCCTTTAATTGAAGATGGAGAAATGAAATGTTCATGTCCAGAACTGTCACAGACTGAAATCTCTCGTGTATGATTCAAAATGGTAAATTTCAAATTGGAGTCTGCTAGTTCAGAAGGGTTTCTATGTTGAATATGAGGAAAAATTCTAAACTGGATTGTTATCCCCCGCAACGCGTTTTGCGGGGGGGTATTAAAATGGACTCCGTCCGTGGTCGTCCGTCCGTCTGTCCGTCCGTCCGTCCGTGCACATTTGTCTTTTCCGGAGCAGAACTCTAAAAGCATTCAATATTTCTTCACCAAACTTGGCACATACATTGATCTGGTGGTGTACTGGTGCCTTTTGGCAGTTTTGGAATTCTGAATAAAATATTTTTGGCGTTTCCATGGCAACAAGTTCGACTTAGACTGAAATTGGTGGTAGTGCTCTTTTCCGGAGCAGAACTCTAAAACCATTCAATATTTCTTCACCAAACTTGGCACATACATAGATCTGGTGGTGTACTGGTGCCTTTTGGTAGTTTTGGAATTCTGAATAAAATATTTTTGGCATTTCCATGGCAACAAGTTTGACTTAGACTGAAATAGGTGGTTGTGTTCTTTTCCGGAGCAGAACTCTAAAACCGTTCCCTGTTTCTTCACCAAACGTGGCACATACATAGATCTGGTGGTGTACTGGTGCCTTTTGGTAGTTTTAGAATTCTGAATAGAATATTTTTGGCATTTCCATGGCAACAAGTTTGACTGAGACTGAAATTGGTGATAGTGCTCCTTTCAATGCTCTCTTTCCACTTTTCTATATACACACCTAAATATTTGACATAGTCATAACTCGTAGACATAATCATGAAGAGTATTTTGCCATTGCGGGGGATATTGATGACTTTGTCTTCTTGTTTTAATTGGCATGTCTAGTCTAGTGTTACACGTGTATATATACAGTGACCAGTGACTGCTGAGTTCTAATTAAGCAGACCTTCATGAATGTGGTACTGATGTTTAATTGCATATTTTAGCACCAAACTTTAGTTTAGTTTTAAATTTATTCATCATTGAAAACAAGTGATATGTCATGTCAAGCGTTCGCTTGTCATGCAGAAGACCCGGGTTCGATTCCCCAGATGGGTACAATGTGTGAAGCCAATTTCTGGTGTCCCCCGCCGTCATATTGCTGGAATATTGCTAAAAGTGGCGTAAAACATTACTCACTCACTCACTCATGACAAGTCTTTTAACATCTTATGAGGTTATTTATTCCCCCAGCAGGTCGTAAGGGGGAATATGATAATAAGCTTTCCTGTCCATCCAGCCTGATCCACCTGTCTGTGACAGTTTTTGTCTAGACCATATCTATTAAACTGATAGGTATTTTGTGAAGAAACTTGGCACACAGAAACCAGATTTTGACTTCCTCATGTTTTTGCTAAAAATAGACCTGACACACAAGTTCCGAATTCCAGTTCCATGTAGGGTATGCTGTAACATTCATGATTTGTATCTTTACAATCATGTACATCATTTATTTTCTGATCTTGCCATTCAGACAATCAGTTATATTGTTCTGTTCTTCTTCCAGGTTTCTTCAAGAGAACAGTCCAAAACAAGAAAGTGTATTCCTGTGTAGATAATAGAAGCTGCCAAATCGATAAGAGTCAACGAAAAAGATGTCCATATTGCAGATTTCAGAAATGTCTCAGTGTGGGCATGAAGTTAGAAGGTACGTGAAGGTTCAGCACCTCATCAGCTGACTGCATCTGTGTCTGTACCATCTCCCTCTCCTCACACTTTCTGTTTCAGCAGTACTGAATAACCAGCCACATATCAAACTGACAGAATGGTATTTAGTTTATCTACAGTAGCTATAGTAAAAGCAGCAGGTGAAATAATCAGATATTATAATATATATTCCTGGTTCAATAATAATTCCAGATACCTATTTGTTTGATCATTGCTTTAAAATCCCTTACTTGTTATAACAGGTATATTTTCCCAGAATCCCTTGTAGTTTGAAGGAGAAAAGATGTACAGCTGATTGCGATTTCTGGCTTATTGTCAAGGCAATTACACATATATTGCTGCATATAGAGGCGTGACAAGATTGTCATCTGATGTTGTGAACCATTATATATTTTTATAGAAACATTTAGTAAACTATTCAACTCAGGTGACTTAGGAGAACTGCTAGACAACCAGGATGATCATTTACTGTGCTTTGGTTGTTCTGTTGATATCATAGTTTTTCATAACATTATTCATTTTGTCACTCTCAATAACCACAAGCCACTGAAGCTTATCATAAACATTATTGGCTCTAAGTAGATTAAGTTTGTTGAAGACATCGTGGTCATTATTCAACTTCAGTCATGAAGATGATCTTCCAGAAGTCACTTTGCCTACTTTCCTCAGAATGCATTACATTACAACAAATGTTAGATGGTCATTGTTGCAGTTTCCCTTATCCTGTGATTTATTGTACTAAGCAGATGCATTGATGTTTGTCAAAAAAATGACATCATCAAATCAACACAGTAATGTTCTAGTAACTGCTCACAAACTGGCTACACAACAGATAACCTGACTGCACCACCATTGACAAACTGACAGCACAACAGATAACCTGGCTGCACCACAGTTGACAAACTGACTGCACCACCATTGACAAACTGACTACACAACAGATAACCTGACTGCACCACCATTGACAAACTGACTGCACAACAGATAACCTGGCTGCACCACAGTTGACAACTGACAGTACAACAGATAACCTGACTGCACCACCATTGACAACTGACAGCACAACAGATAACCTGGCTGCACCACAGTTGACAACTGACTGCACAACAGCAAACCTGGCTGCACCACAGTTGACAACTGACTGCACAACAGATAACCTGGCTGCACCACCGTTGACAACTGATTTAAGAACAGGTAACCTGGCTGCACCACAGTTGACAACAGATGTAAGAACAGATAACCTGGCTGCACCACATTTGACATCTGATTTAAGAACGGATAACGTGACTGCACCACAGTTAACAACTGATTTAAGAACAGGTAACCTGGCTGCACCACAGTTGACAACAGATGTAAGAACAGATAAGCTGGCTGCACCACATTTGACATCAGATTTAAGAACAGATAACGTGACTGCACCACAGTTGACAACTGATTTAAGAACAGATAACCTGACTCCACCATAGTTGACATCTGATTTAAGAACAGATAACCTATAAGTTATTATAGCTACGGTTGTGATTTCAACAGCATGAGGAACGCACCACACAGTTAGCGTCAGAAATATTGTTGATTGCAATAGCGGACAATGCAACTATCATGATGATAGCTGATGTACCATCCCACCTGGCTCAGTACTGAAACAACAAAAGTAATTCTTATGTTTCCTCTACTCGCTATTAAATCATTGCCATAGATTGGGCATTTTGGCTGCAATCATACAAAAGGTAAACTTGAGATATTTAACAGACATCCTCTTCACTGCCATCTAGTAGCACTATTAGAGTTCTTCAATGCTCAATAGCATGAACAAATCACTTCTTTCCTGTGTGGATAGAGTAAACATGTCGTATTTATGCTCACTGCTGCCCTTTAAAGTTAAATTGATAAATTACTACTACAAGTGCATATTTAGTGTTATTTCTGTCTAAGAAGGGGGCGGTGGGGTAGCCTAGTGGTTAAAGCGTTGGCTCGTCACGCCGAAGATTCGGGTTCGATTCCCCACATGGGCACAATGTGTTAAGCCCATTTCTGGTGTCCCCCGCCATGATATTGCTGGAATATTGCTAAAAGCGGCGTAAAACTAAACTCAGTCAGTCAGTGTCTAAGAAGGGTTTATGTTAGTGTTGCTATTTGGTGTTCGATGTGAATTCTTCTATGGGTTTGCCTGCTCTTATGTCTGCATGTGTGAGTGAGGGTAGTTTTTAAGCCACTTTTAGCAATATTCCAGCAATATCACGGCAGGGACACCAGAAAGGGGCTTCACACATTGTACCCATGTGGGGAATTGAACCCGGGTCTTTGGCGTGATGAGCGAATCCATTAACCACTAGGCTACCCCACCGCCCCTGTCTACATGCGAGAGGAAGGAAGCGAAGAGGAAGAAAGTGGGCGTATCATGTTGCTTCCTGACCCACTATCACCTTGATGCCATCTGTACCCACTACCACCCACTGGCATTGCCATGTTAGATTGACTGTTTACACAAAAATAGATTGGCTCATATGACTCCCCCAATAAACATTGGTAATCGTTACCGACAGGGCCACAACTGCCATCTACTGATGTCTGGCAACCACATGACCAATCCCAGGATTGTTCTGTCCATGAACCATCTAATCCAGAGAGGTGTTAATCCAGGACTTACATCATTCTAACCGTTCCCAACAACAACAACCTGAATCCTTTGCTTATCTGAGTCCAATCAAAAAGGAAACAATCCTCGTAGAATAAAGTTAAGAGGCCCTGGGAATCGTACAAGACTCTACCCACTCCTGTTGTTCATCCCAGACCCAGTCGACTTTACTATGTCTATGGATAGTGATCTATTGCTATAAAAATTCTCACTATTGTTGGGAAGTCTGTTCTTCTGGATAATTGTACACTCATTGCATCACTGATCACTGAATCCTGGACACTGACTCCTGTTTACAGTTCCACTTCCAGATGTGCTCATTGCATGTATCATGACTTTTTGGTCACAGATTCCATTTGGAAGGCACAAATTTGGCAAGTGCGGAAAAGGCCTTTTAAAGCCTTACTAAACAAGTGGGTGTTTTGGTAACTCTAACAGCACAACCTACTGTCAGTTTAGTACAGGATCTGATAGCATTCAATGCACGAAATGGGTTTCTTTGCTTATGTGTTTTACCCACAGTCTTTCGTGGACAAGTGAATGTGAAAATCCTACCTAGCTGGAAAGCAGCAATGAGTAATTGTCAGAGGCAAAACCACTATATTGTGGTGTCTCTCAAGGATCTATCTTTGGACCTATGCTGTTTGCTCTTTATACCAGAAATCTAGGAGAAGTCATTCGAAACATGAAGTTGAGCACCACTTCCACTGTCAACTCAGTCCACCACGGTTGATACACAGCTGTCAGCTGTCAGCGCTCCAGCCACAACCAAGGAACTATGGACTCAAGTATCCAAATGTACTGATAACGTAGTGGGTGGACTCACACAGGCTGAAATTAAATTAGACAGAAGCGTTGCATGTGTATAGTTTAAAGTGTCAGTCTTGTGTCAAAGATACTTCCCTACAAATATGTAACACTAAGATTCCATTTTACAAAACTGTCAGAGATCTTGGACTTCATTTGACCCAGAACTGTCTCTAAAATGCCACATTGATAAAATCTACAACTCATATTATTTGAGAACAATTAGCAATATCAGAAACTTCCTGATGACTTTTACGCAGCTTTTAGCAATATTCCAGCTATATCACGACGATTCTGGAACCAGCTGCCACTTGAGCTAAGACTTTCTCCCTCTGTTGAAGCTTTCAAAAGTTTTATAAAAACCTTCCTTTTTAGAAAATATTACAAAATCTAATCTAAATCTTCAGCATCTTTTATGCCCTGAATATACTTGGTATGTTCTTGATATATATTGTAGGGCTTAGTGCGATACATGTACACATGTTATTATTATCTAAAATAGATCTGGTGAATGTATGAGCACAGGAACGAATGTTACCATTGTTAATCATTTTTAGAGAACTAGGTTTACTTCATTACCATAAATTCGAACAAACCTGTAGAGGTTGCTGATTCTTTGAGTCATCCTTGGGGTACATATAAACATTCATATGTCCATTTTAATCCCTCCTGCAACTATATTTTGAATAAAATATTTACAAAACAAAAAACTTCATTATTGTTCTTGTTCGACCACCCCTACGGAGCCCAGAATTGAACTCCAAGTGCTAACTTCTTCCTCACTTTCCATGCTGAACCGTGTCAGACAGAATGTGGGGAGGTGGGTGGCCATGCCCCAAGGAGGACTCTCATCAAAGAATCAGCAACGTCTACAGGTTTGTTTGATTCTTTTTCATGAGAGATCCTCCTTGGGGTACATATGAGCATAAGACAGACTCATAAAAACAAGAGTTCTGAGAGTGGTATGCTGTGTGGTAAATAAGCCCCAAACGAGTGGAATTTCCCAAACTATGATAGTGTAAGAGTCTCGCACTTACCTGGCCATGTGACCTCTTCAGCCAATCGGGCAAGGGCGTGGTCCAGGGTCATGGGTTGCACAACCAGCTCATATGTAAGCAATGCAGCGTATGATACACACCTCGAAAACGCTCCGTCCCCGTCCCTTCTTTTGGAAGTTACCTAGGGAGGGAGTGACTAATAATTCCCATGAAACTTCACTCAAGCATAAATTTCCAATGGAAATAACAGGAATGCATACAACGCCATTTCTTAAGACGGGGAGAACAAGCTATCACCAAGAACCCGACACCAAGTAAGGGAAGGGGAGGAAACTTGTCTGAAAAACCCCACCAGTAATATGCAGATAAAAAGTTAAATCTAAGGCTCAATCGGTTAAAGAGTTACGACTCTGCCCTCTGGAGAGAACTGACTCACCGAACCGAGCACGCTCGCTGGAGTGTCTGTCAAGTTGACAATTACAGATGAACATACTCGGTTGGCTCCAAATAGCTGCGATGCAGGTTTCCTCAATGGGCAGA